TAAAAGTCCAGTTGTATCTGTGCAAATCAGCTGAAGGAACTAGGTTTGTACAAAAGGGTCTGAAGAAAGACTTTGCTCAACAGAACTTTATTATGAGTAATGATGCAGAGGAAAAAGGTTCCAATTTAACTGTCATATATCAGGCTGAAATAGCAGGGCTGGCATTAAGATTTTTAGCTGCTTGTCTATCCGCATCTTCCTAAGCAGACAGGAAGACCGTGAACATCAGCATATGCATAGCTCTGGCTTGGCACCAGACAATATACCAGGAGATTCTTCAACATCTGTAGCCAAAGCTAGGGCAAGACTGAAGATGCTTTGAAATCCAAGCTTTCCCCATTCAGCTGTTCTTCTCTACTTGCTCCAAGCATGTCATTGATTTGTCTCAATATTTTTGATCTCTCTCCCTAGCTCCTCTCCCTCCTCCTTTCTCTCCCTCACAAAAAATAGCAAGGTTCAAATCAATATAGCTTGGGAAAGAGAACATTTATTCTGTAAAATGTACTCAATGCAGTATTAGATAATCTGGTCAAAGCTATTTATACAGATAAAGATGGAATGAATTTTGCAGAGAGTATATCAAGCAAATTCTGTCTGCATATTATCTGAGCAATAACACTCTTTTCCAGGTTTAAATCCCCATTTATACGGTCCTGTTGTCTAGTTATCAATAAGAATTTAGTATCATGAGAAGAAATGGAAACAGATAGCTAAGCATGTCTTTTCTAAGTCATGTAGCATAGAAGAGTCTATTCTGTTAATAGTTATCACTGCTTTGCAAAGACAATGATATCAGTAATCCAATACAGCTAAAAAAAAAAAAGACCTTTTGCCAAATAAACATCCTGTTAGCATGTTTAGTAATGACCCCGGTTTCCATCAGCTGACTGCTGCTTTGGTTTGTCAGTAGCTCTTTCTTAAGAATTATCCCCATCTTGTAATTTTAGAAATTTGAAAAGTAGTTTACAATGTAATACCTTTGACATATGTCATTATCCTATCTTTATCTGACAGACATTTTAAAAAAAAGATACCCCAAAAATGCATGAAACCAACCAAAAATAGATGACAATGTGACTCAGAATGCCATGAAATTAGCTCAGATTGTCAGACATGGAGTTTAAGGAATATTTTTTTAGAGAGGAAAACAGAAGAAGAGTTCCAGGTTAGAGTCCACCATTATTCATCTATAATGAAAACTGTTGCAATCCTAAAATGAATTTCCAGGGGGAAATGATGAACTAGAAATAGAACAAAGGTACAGTTCCAAATCAGCTGCCTGTTTACTGGGGGATATGAGATGGGAGGAGCTAGAATGTGAAACCCCTTCAATAGCAGTTGTGAATCCTATTTATTGTCGTCTTATTTATTATCTTCGTAGCAGGGTGGCACCTTAGAGACCCACTCAGTCAGAGCAGCATAAGTTATTGTCGGTGACATTCTTGTTCATCAGATCTTAAAGATGATCTGTTGGATTACACGCTCCTGTTTTTGAAAGCATTGCACGTTGCTGGCAGGAACAAAGCAATTGCATTTCGTGACAAACTGCTGTTTTAACTCCTTTTTTTATTCTCAGGGCCCAGGACTCGGGGCATCTCCTTGGGATGTCAGACCCAGGTTCAGATCCCTGCTGTGCCTGATTGGGAGTTGAGATTTCAACAGGACTCACTCCCATCCCAAGTCTACACCATAGGTGCTGAGCTGTTGAGCTAGCCTCTTGTTCTGTCCTGTTGGAGCTGTTCTACTTTCTATAATAAAAAAAAGCCCAATGTATGTTGGTGCAGAGGGAGCGCATCTATATCTATGGCCTGGGCTGTGTGTAGATGAAACGAGGCGTGTGTGCATGACACTTCAAAGCGGCTAAATGCTTTCGTACTGCTTTAATGGTGTTGGTGTTTGCAGTGGTGTATTGCACATTAATTCCAGCCGCTGTAGCAAATTTGGCAGCATAATGCGCCTTAAATGACTTGGGGCACAGCAAACTAAAACTCCTCCAAGGAGTTTTAGTTTGCTGCCTTACCAGCTGTGGAGTGAAGCACCAGGCTCTGTACAGTTTAGGGGCTCTGCAGGAAGACCTGCAGGCAGCTTGGCAGCAGCCCGGGAAGACGGGCTCCACCCAAGAGAGGAAAAAAAAAAAGCATTGAGCCTGATCTTTTTTTTTTTTTCCCCCTGGAGCCTGCCTGCCTGCAACCCATAGCTGGAGCGGGGGAGGAGTAGTTCTGGGTCTCCCCATGTGCCTGTGTTAGCAGGAGGCAGAAATGGCTGGGGGCGGGGTGGCTCTTTCAGTGCCTTCTCCCAGCCAGCAAGGAACGTGACTGGAGGGGGAAGCAGGTGCAGGAAGAGGCAGCCCATCCCCTGCCGCTGCTGTCCCCTGCTGAGTCTGGCACATGTGCAATTGTGGCCCACAGCTGGAGCAGGGCAGGAGCAGCTCTGAGGATACCTCTGTTCCCAAGTCAGCTGGGGATGGCAGTAGCAGAAAGAGGGTGCAACTGCACTGCCATGCCGCCTCCCCCCCCCCAATCCACTTCTGGAGCCAGATGGACCTTTGATCTGACCCAGGATAGCACTGTTGTTCTGAGAAAGGAGGAGTGTTGGACACTTCCCTGGAAGAGCGAAAACATTTATTGCAATAAAGCTATAAATGAGTTATTACAGTCACTCATCTCTGCACATAGCAGAATCCCACTTCCCCCATGCAATAAAGGGAGGAATGGCTGCTCTTGGTCCTCCTTAAGACGGCTGGTCTCCTCTCTGGTCAGAGCCCCTGTGGGTGGCACGCTGTCCTCACACTCCAGCTGCCCTGTCCAACATACAACAGCAGTGAGTGTCAGAGCTAAATCAAGAGACAGATTTTTTTCTCCAGCTTTACTGCTGATCTGTGCCCCAGACAGATCCAGACAACCTTTGTCCTAGTCTTCTGTTCACCATCCTCTTACTACTGACCCCCTGGCCAGGGTGCAGGATTGTCAGCCAGGAACAAGGGTCAGAAGCGGCCTCTCACAATGGTGCAGTTGACATCATTACAAATAAATATAATCCTATTTGGATCTCGGTTTAAGAGCTTACTACTTCTGGGATGTGAATTATAATGACGTCTGTCTGTCTGCCTCATTGCTGAGGATACAGTCTAATTCTGAGAGAGCCTCTATGCTAATAGCCCAGCTGTTTTGCTGTTTTAAAGTCAAATGCACCTTAACAAAACTCCTTTAAATGAATTATTTTGCCCCCTTCCCACATCTTTGCTAATCTGATGGCCTCAGTTATACCCCAAAATAAGCCTTTTTCTTAAATACAGCAAACAGCTCCCTTAAGTGCCTCCTACTTCTCTTGCAGTGCTCATGCCAAACATTGCTGTAATGTATAGGGCCAAGCAAATTATTTTTGAAGCAGAATTATTAAATTCTGATCTTGCTTAATCCCTGTGTAAACATTTGAGGCAGAAAAATATGCTTTAATCTAGTCTCAGCTCTACGTTGTTTTGCAGAATAATCTGTAAATAATTCAGTTTCCAGATGCTAAGTGTTATTGAGGTTTTACGATAGGACTAAAGAAAATCAGACAAAGATGTACTTCATTTAGCAGGGTGTGTATTTGTTTTTTAAATGGAGGCTTTGGGGAAAGAGTGTGGCACCACTGCTGCTAAAATATAGAGGAGCCATCTTCTATTCAGTCCACCTGCCTCCGGTATTTTGAAATATAAGCTTTGTTCCATCAGAAGCAGCATCTGGCATTTATCTGTGCCACATTATTTTACGTCCATAGCTAAAGTAGTTTCAGTCGTGCCACCTTTAAACAACCTTTTGCAGCTGGGAAAGACAAGCATAGAATAATGCAGTGCCAGTAATGGAAAAGCAATGCTCTATGCTTGTCCTTTCACAGCATCTGATGCAGCATCTGTCCTTTAATCAGCTTATGCTCTCTGTACATGGTAGATAGTTTATAAAGTGCAAGTCGACCCTGCCTTCTGCCTGGCTTCTGACTAACACAGCTAACTACTGTACCTCATTTTTTTTAATGCTAGGTTTAAAAACCCCCCCATTATTTCTCCCTGGCCTTTTGCTGCTGCCCACCTCAACATTACCCAAGGTGGGAGAGATGTTGAACAAACTTTCCAACATCTAGTACCCTTCATCAGGTCCTGGCTGTATCTCTGGTGCACTAAAATCCGTATCCCACCAAGTCCTTCAATTATGGGATCATCTTGCCTGCCTAGATTTCTATTTCCAAGCTCCTGAAGCACTTCAGGTTGCAGTCATGACTCATACATCTTCAGGCATCTAAATCTGATGCATGATACTCTCTCCCATGTATTTTCACCAGACCACCACACTAAATTCAAGGAGAATTCCACTACAGAGACCAAACTTTGGCACCACCAAGGAAACTAGAATGAAAGTATGCCTGCAAGAAACCTGCAAAAACAAACAGACAAAAAAACCACTTCTTACAAGACGCCTCTTGGATTTCAGAGTCTATTGGGAGAAGAGAATCCTGATCCCAGCAAAGTCAGCTGGCAAAACTATTGACTTTAGATATGGCCACAATTTCATTTCAGGCCTCTAAAATAAACCAGGATCATTCTGTTGTTGTTGCTGCCCCGATCTCTATCACCTTCCTCTTTGCATTTTGTTTTGGTAACACAATAGTTCAGACCTCACTGAACATTTACGCATACACCAAAAAGATTATTTCCTACTTCTACAGAATTGAAGATGCGCATGAGAGATTTATACCTCCTTCCTCCATTGTTCCCTCTTGTAGGAAATGCCTACAGGCCCTTCACTACACATATTGCACATTCTTGCTTCCATCTCTTCTTTTAGGTATGGCCTCGTACTGAGAAACATTGAGCCCTGCAGCTCCCATGATTCTAGCTAGTGTTTAAAATAATTTAAAACTTAAATGCTTTATTTAAAACATTCACTATAGCCCTCCTCCCTTCAAAGCAAGGAAATGCATGGGGAGGCTTCATTATTATTATTGTTATGTGTATTTTTCAGTTCAAGCCTGGAGCTCCTCCCCGATGTGCAGTATGGATTTGGGCTGCCATTTTACCCCCAGTATGAAGGACAATTTACTTTGGCAGAAAAAAGCCTTTCCTTAAAAATAATGGAGTATATATCCAACTTTGTGAAATCTGGGTAAGTTACATTAATTATATTGTAATTTAATTATATTCCATTTTGAGGATTGAGAGGTATATCATAAAAAGCCAAGTTAAAGCAGATGGTGCCTTTATTCAAGTAATCTCTGTTCACTTAGGCAAGGCTTTGACCATTTGTGTTTGAAAGATGTGGCCAAATTTTCAAACCTAAAATTCTGGCACATACAAATAATGTGAATTTTAGATATGTCACGTGCCTACAAATTCCATTGAAAAGAAAAAAGGAACTCCAGCTGTCATGACACAGTTTATAGAGATTTATTTAGGTAACTATGTCTGAACATTGTGATCTCAAGTTCTTGTTCAGAAGAATGAGAAAACCACAGGCAGGAGTGGTATAACATTTACTACGCTGCCTTGCAAATAACCCTCAACACTAGTCTAATGAATTATGTCCATGGATAATGGCTAACGCTAGATCCAAATGAGGGCGTCATTTGGAGAAACTATAGCTTTATATGTCCAAAGATTGTCTTGAGTCTTAACTCCTGCTGAGGTGGCTGATGAGCGTGCTAGCTCTGATGGTATTTGTGTGATGAATGCCTAGCCATTAGGACCTGAACAAAAACCAGCAAACCATCATCAGAAGATAATGGTTATAATTTTGATCAGTCTGGGATGAATTTGAACTAGAGAACCAGAAGTGAAAAGTACTATTTCTACATTCCTTAGCACCGCCAGCCAATTCCCTTCCTTCCCAATGCAGTTTAATAAGCCGATAATGTTTCATGCCATTGCTTTGTCACAATCATTTCTATTTCTTTTTGTTCAGAAACCCAAATTACCCTCATAGCTTCTCAAGTAAACTCACAAGGTCTGTGTCCATATGGCCAATGTTCCTGCCACATGCTAACGGCGATAACTACAAGGAGTTCACTGGTTCCTTACTGAATCGCAAAGGATTGAAAAAAGCAGAATGTTCCTTCTGGTCTGATTATATTGAAACACTCAAAGAATCTACAGGTAAGCAGATAATATTTTGTCATTTTGTGACAGACAAAGTGTCATCGTAAAGTCTTCCCAGTCATGTCAAACCTTAACACCACGACAACAGCAGTCTTGCTGCACAAATTGCCTCCTGCCCCCATAAGAAGAAAAATCTCTGCCCAGATTAGGTATGGAAAACACAGCCCTCCATATGACTGCTCTTTAGTTAGTCTTTAAGGTGCATCTCTGCCTTGCCTTCTGTTATTTTCAGTCATAAGGTGGATATTGTTTAAAGACAAAGGCTCATCATACCTGATTATGCAGTGTTGCCACTTTTAACTAATGAGAAGTGCTCAGATACTGAAGTGCTGATAATCCAATAGGTTGTGAGTGCATAGGTAAACTGTAGAGGCAGAAGCGTAGATGCAGGAACCTCTCTCTTCAGTAAGGTTGCAACAAGACTGCTTAGCATGTGGATCCCAGAGCATGTACATGTCTTCCTGGTGCTCTGAAGTACAACTTGTATGCATATTAGCATCCTTTGTGGCTGGGCAGGCACCCTGTAACTCTTCGTGTTTTCAGGCAAGAGCATAAAAGCCAGAGCGGCTGTGACCTTGTCCCTTCTATCACTCATGTCTGTACAAACAATAACGGTACGCATTACAATGATGATCCTCTGACTCATTATTTGGGTGACAAAATCCTTCCTCACACCTTTGTTAACTAATTTGGTAGCGTTAGAGTGATGTTGTAGCCATATATTCCAGGAATTATGATACTGGCAAAGATTTCTTAGGGTGATATCTTTTATTGGACCAACTGCATAGTTAGGATAGAGTTAGACAGCTTTTCGAATGCCAGGCGTTCCTCTTCACGTCTTGGAGTATCTCCTTCCTGCAGTGTGGGGCAAAGTCCTTTGCTGGCTGCCATAAGGGACTTAGCTACTGTAGCTAAGTAAGGACTGTAGTCCTGAGCTGGTACAGGCTTCAGACTGTGAGCGGACTGAAGGGTCTGTTCTGCCCTTTGTGCCCTGGCATGAGACCATGAGGGAAGTGCAGGGCATATATGTGGTCCCAGTGGACACTGATGTTAAAAAAAAAAGTCCAGTCATCATGGGCATTGTGTGTCTCTGTGCATACAATGGATCCATATTGACAACAATTCAAACTACCACAGTTGTATAGTGTAACTGTTCTTTGCAATATAAGCCTAATTTTGTCCACCTCACCCTTTCCAGAATGCTTAAACCAGCATCCTTTTATCTTAAATTTGACACGTGGTGTCCTTGGACCACAACATTTTTTTCCAAACTTGAACTGGATAAGCTATTGACAATGAGATTTTTAGGGTGTGGACACACAAACACACAGAGCCCTTTCAAAGGGGGAATGTTTCAAGAGGCAGCAGGTGGGCGGCTCTAATTGTTGTGTATGAACAAGCTGAGAGCAATTCAAATGCAGCAGTACCATTCCAGCTTTCACCCTGGCTGAAGAAGTCTTAAAGCAGGAGCTGTTTTCCTGCATTTGAGCCATTCTCAGGTTATTCACACTTAACGATTAGAAGGAACCAGTTGCTCCAACTGCTGCCCTTTTGAAACACTCCCCTTTCAAAATGGCTTAAAGTATTCATGTGCCCTCCAGATACTTGAAGGCTGTTATCAAATCCCCCCTCAGTCTTCTCTTTTCCAGACTAAATAACCCTAGTTCCTATTGCGTTTCTTAAGTCTTGCTTCCAACACACCTAATCATTTTTGTCCTCTGCGCTGAACTTTCTAATCTGTCCACATCCTTCTAGTAATATGGGGCCCACAACTAAGTATAAGACTCCAGGTAAGGCCTCACTGATGCTGAATAGAGAAGAAGAATCACTTTTTGATTTTCAAGTGCTTTTTATTGCAACAAGAGCAAAAGGTTGGCTTGAATTCAGCTGATGGTTTTCTGTAACCCCCCGGGTCTTTCTCTGCAGTATTACAGCCTAGCCAGTCATTCTCCAGTCTGTAACAGTGCTTGCAATTATATTCTGTCACAAGATCAGGACTTTGCATTTGTCTTTGTTGAATTTAATCTGATTGATTATGGACCATCTCTCCAGTCTATCCAAGTCATTCTGGATTCTAGCTTCCAGAATCAAACCTCCAGGATATAGGATTATTTGGAACAATTTATCTGCATGTATTTAAAATTATGGGCAGATGAGACACTACATTGCCGTAGCAACAAGCTACTGTGCTGTAGTTTATTGCTGTGGTGGCATAGCATTGCCAGGCATGAAGTGTGACACCAATGCTACTGCGCAGTAGCAATGTGCTGCTGCACAGTAGGTCATTGCTACTGCGCACTAGCAGCTAAAAATAGCCATGTGGCAACAGGACTGCATGGTAACTTGCCTAAGCAAGTACTAAATGACTATGCAGTAACAAATGCACAGTCTACTGCATGTGTAGACATGCCCACTGATTAGCAAACTATGTATGGACGGGACAGTAGAGTTAGGATTAGGCAGGCCATAATGTTTAAAAAGTCCTGGGTTTGACCAAACTGTTTCCCAGGGCTGATTTTCATTGTAAACCTACAGGCAGCTTCAACATTTGGGTTCCTGATTATTTGATGTTTGAGGTTCATCAAAACCAGAAGTGAAACTAGTGACCATAAAGGAAACATTTGTGGAATGCTTATGGATATATAGACATCTGTATTGTGCTCTAGGGTGGGCTGCATTGCAGAATACTGAGCTCATCCCCAGAAGCAGGATAGATGGAATCTTTGAATCATTAAGACTCAGGACGTTGTTCACCTAAACCTCTGAGAGAGAATTTTCCAGCCACAAAGGAGTCTTAATAAACTGCTGGGATCTGGACATAGTTTAGACTCAACTTGGGACTGATTTTGACAATTTTTGTGGTTACTCTCAATCACTGTCTGCTATTTGGCTTCCCACCTTCATGTTGCACATGTGCTTTGAAAATCAGGTTCTTAGAGTAAGGCAAGCGTATGGGTTGTTCATATAGGCTAAGGGCAGACATTCAAAAAGCCTGAGCCTGAATTGATTCTATCTTTGCAGGTTAGTCTAACCTGGCTAGGCTGAACCAGTTTGTAACTGTACAGACAACCCCTCTCGACTGAGAAAATTCAGGCACGTGCCTGCAGTGGCTCAGGCTAGAAGCTGGGGGATGCTAGAGCAGCCCTTCCTTCCCTTCCACAGGACTGAGCTGAGGAGGGCGTGGCCAGGCCCTAACAGGGCACTCTGATTAGGGAAGGGTTCCCCCCCCCCCAACCCCTTCTTGATAATAGAGCATTTATCAGCTCTGTTATCATCATTTAGCACCCCATCAGAAAACAAAGCCTCTCATTAGTTCAAACTCTTCTTAAACAATTTTTTCCAGAAAAGGGAACATTCCAAGGAGGGCCATTACCAGCTACCTGTTGATTAGCTCCAAAAAGTCCTAAGCCGACACTGTCATGTCTGCCTTACACAGACACCTCTCAGCATTAGCTAGCATAACAGATGCTGGCTACCGTTCTTGCTGTGGGAGAGAGAACAGAGGGATTCCTGCTTGAGCAGCGAGTGGTGCTGTGGGTCGAGGGATGGGGCAGAGGAAGCTAGGCAGACTCTGCTGTGCCTGCAAGTCTCTGTTGGAGCTCCAGCCAGGGAGCAGAGGGGAGAGACCACACTTGCTGCGGAGCAGAGCTCCACCCAGCCCAGAGAGCATGCTGGGATGCTGGGGCAGTCTGGTTAAACTTAAACCAGCAACGGGTCTGGGGCAGACATTGCATAAACTGGTTTGACCCAAATCAGTTAAATCTGATACTACATTCAACCAGGTTTATCTCAAACCAGTTTCGGCCATTTTCAAACTGGCTTACGTGCACTGAACATCTGTTCTGTTACAGGTTTAAACCAGTTTCTGATCATTTAAACCAGTTTATGTGTAATGTCTGTCCCAGCCATATTGGCCTGCCACACAAACATATTCTGGTTATGCTACATTAAATGTAAACACAACCAAACCAAGGCCTCCAGTGACCTGTGCTTGGACAGTATCCTGGATGCAAACTCCATCTGTGAAGCAAGATTGTAGGCAGTAAGCCACTGACTTGCTGCAACTTAAATTATGCATTCCAGGAACAGTTATTTAAAATATGTTAGCATCCTGGTTATTAATTTAGCATTAATTGAGCTGCCATTTTTTTAATGCTATTTGGGGCTACTAAGTGAAAATTGGCTGCCTTCAATGTTTACAGATGTATAAAAATTGTTATTGTTAAATTGTCGTTAATAAAGCATCTTGCTCTTGGCCTGCTGTGTTCCAATGCTGCATCAATAAAAATGGTACATTTATTTTAATTCTTTCTATATTCTGGTTTCAGGCAAGAGAGCTAATGGACAGCAATCTACTGAAAACAGCCTGAGTGAAGAATCAAACGTAAGGTTTAATTCTCAAGACTCACCCAGCCAATCAGGGGAAGACAAAGTGGCTTATAGCAAATAGAATATCATGCTGAAGTGTAGATTGGTTCATCTGTGCAACCGTGTCACACACAGAGGTACAGTTGCTTCCATTATTGTAACATTTTTAGGATCTTGAATAAGCTACCAGCAGTCTTCAGAAAACTTCCTCATTCAGTTTAACTTTGCATCTGACTAAGTAAAATACTGAGAAACAGTCGAGCATAATAATATATCCTTTTAGACTAAAATAGACTGTACTTTATACTGTAAGGACATTTCTCAATAAAACTGCAATAAAAAAAAAGACCTGAGTTTGTTGCTTGCAATCATGAAAGTGGCTATGCTGTTGTCATGGCATCCTCTACCTCAGAGATTCTCAACCAGGGTGCCATAGCACCCAGGTGTGCCTTCAGATCCTTTCAAAGGTGCTGCACGCTGCTATGCAATCTTAGCACTGTTAGGTTTACAAGCCCGATTCACTAGATAAACCCAGATATTTCCAACAGAAACCCATAGCTGCGGTCTTTCTGAGGTCTGAGAATAGAAAACTGTTCTATTTTTGTTGTCAAGAAAAAGAAAACTAAGAACTGGCATTTTCCTGGAAGTGACTTAAGTTTATCCAGGGGTGCTTCACAGATTCACAGAAGTTTAGGGCTGGAAGGGACCTCATGAGATCATTGGGTCCAGCCTCACTGCTCTGGGCAGGAAAGACTGCTGGGGCCAAACAACCCCCAGCAAGGTGTGTGTCCAGTCTCCTTTTGAACATCTCCAGGGTAGGTATCTCAAGCAACAGACTGGGAGCACCACTCAAGCACCATGCCCACAGGGAGTCTATTCCAGAGTCCGGTCACACAAACCAGGTGCCTAGAGTCTAAAAAGGTTGGGACCCATGCTGTACATGAACAGCATTCACCCTCAACCACTGGGTATACCTGGATAATCAGGTGGAGCTTTCCATGACTTGTGCCTGGTTGGACCTCTAGGCATCCCACACTACCACTCCTGACCCCCACACGAATACCCGCACAATACGTAGCCAGAACCCTGACTGCAGCATCCCTGGCCGGGGGCAGCTCTCAGCCACTTTTAAAGAGCTGGCCAGTTCCCTTCCACTGGTGGCAGCTGACCAGGATTCTAGAAATTTTGGGTTTATTTGGGGTGGGAGATGGCCAGGTGCGGGGGAGCTTCCTGGAGCCCTGCTTCTGTGTGCCGGAGAGGCTGTCCAAGTTGTCCAGTGCCACCAATGCAATAACACTGACCAGCTCTTTAAGCAGAGAGAGGTAGCAAGCCACGTTCATCTGAAGTCAGGCAGAAGGCAGGGCAGAGATGCACCATATAGATTAACAAAATAAGATATGTAGTGAACACAAGCTTTTGTGAACTTGAGTTCATTTGGTCAAATGCTGTGCAAGGACAGCACCGAGCAGGGTATCACGTGGAGTGAGTGATTTGAATTTAGAAGCCGGGGAAACAGGAGGTAGAGGAAGGGGGAAGGGGGACAGTGGTGGGAGAAGCAAACAAGCAAAGAACCCATAGGAACAAAGGAGACAAAAAAGCTGATCCAGGTAATAGGGTACGAATCCGTAGTCCCTGTCTAAACCTTACTTAATACATTCCAGTCTGTGGATTATGCTTAGGGGCAACCAACATGGGTTCATTAGAGG